TCAATCAGCAGGCAGCAATCTTGCTGTCTGTTGTCATGTTCGTTATTCTAGAATTCCTGTTCGTTATTCTAGAATTCCTTGAAATTAAGTAATTCTAGAATAACGAACAGGACAACAGGCAGCAAGATTGGTAATGTTCCAGGTTCAAGTGGCAACAGGCACGAGTGCAGGTACAAATACAGGTACAAATACAACTGATTACTTGACAAGGCATAAATACGTTTTATGAAGCCTAAAAGGTAATCATCGGCCAACAAGCCATGATGGTTAAACCTCTGAAGAAACTAGCCACTCGCGCCAGAGAAACGTCAGGAAGAAATTCCAAAAATCCACGGCTTTCAAACTCGAAAAGCAATGGCACTGAAAACCTCAGCCATGAAAGTCTAAACCAACATTACAATTATTACAAACAGCTGCAGACATTCAATTTGCTGGGTGTAACACAACCAGAAATGATCCTGGTGTTTTTGAAAGAGTTCTAGAGTCGATGAGGAGAAATATTAAATGTAATTTCTGATTGTTATTGTCAAAATTAATTTTAGCTCCGTATCTTCGAAACAAAACACCCTATCAAAAATCGTCAAAGGACAAACTAGTCCAAGGAATAGTCCCTCAAATGTTTGCCGCATGTTTAATAAACCCCTGTATATTACTATTAAAAATTATAGACTACCAAACTGCCTTTGGACAGTGTCCCATATATCACCATTAAATCTCCATTCAATTTTGAATTGTTGAAAACATAACATTGACTACCAACTCAATTCTAAGATACCCAAAAAAAAAACATTGTTCTACAGAAATGTAAGTTAACACTCAAATAATTATTTGGCATGGAAATTATTCAGTACAGTTCCTGAGTGAATGCGTAATATGAATGTAATTCATTATTTCAAAAAATCCTTCAACACTTTTATATTTGAATTTGCCATATATCATACAATGCGCTTTTGTGCAACAGATGCATTTTGTGTTGAAGTTGACCGTACCCAGAAACAAACACCATACCTAATTCTAGAATCTACATGAGTATAATAGATATTAAATAACCAAGCTCTAGTCAATACCGATTTTAAATTAATGAAAAGAAACTCCAGTAAGAATATCAGATGTTAGCAATGGCTATTCCAATTCAGGAATTCATTCAGATAAATAGGTACCTAAAAACACTACTACCATCACTATTTAAAGATATTATTAACATTGAACTGGAGATTTAAAAATTTTTTTTGGCGATGCTCCCAAACATTTATTTTCTAAAATTGTAGTATCAGATGCAGAGACAATCAATCAAAACTCATCAGCCTAAGCTGTGTAACAACCGTCTTTAATTATAGCCAATGCTGTTTACATAGAGTATACAGGATAAATAAAATAGGACCTCAAGTGGAGCCCTGTGGAATAGCCATCGTTGTTTCTATGTTCATAGTTGTATTTGAAAGTAGGTACTATAAATACGACAAGTTACTGATGAATAGAAGATTTTTCTTTGTGAAAAATACTTTGATTTTACGCAGTAACTTATCGGGTAAACTAAAAAGTTTGCCTTTCTACACTTGTATAAAGTTCTCCATTATAACTTTTGTTTTTCAGATTGTGGAAGGTAACAAATACCCAAAAAAGGCCAATGAAAAACTGATTTTCCTCCACAAAAAATGACTTTCGTTGAATATATAGGTACTATTATTTTTCGAAATTTGCAATGACACAAATTGATCCGTTTTCGGAAGAAATCGGTTTATCCAACTGAGCAAAACCATACCATAATTTTACAATTTTAAAGCCAGTATTTTATGATTGACAAGGCCAAATACACGGCTCGAATCACATAGTACTGGTACATCAATGTGATTATGTGTGATTATTTGATTTATCAATAAAAACATTGTTGTATTAGTAGACCATGTTGCTTTCGGATTTGAATGGAATGCTGATTTAAAAATTAATGAAGTCTATTCAGAAAGGCATATTCAAATAATTCAGAAAAGCCATGTGGGACTGAAATAGGACCATAATTTTCCTCATTTGTAATTTGTTATGTGTCCATATACCAACTCCTCCACGATTCATAGTTGGTCTGCAGTATGTGCTAACTATTTGGAAACCTTTTATGTGCAAACTTTCTAAAAGTGCCAATTTTAGACCTATTCCTACCAAACATAAAAACTTATTGAGCCGATATAAAGTCGATTAGTTTTATCACTATTTATTGTGTTCACGTTAAGTAAAAGAAAATTTTATTGAAAGGCATTGTACTATTAATGTAAAAATGTCAAAGTGAAATCGATTTTAAATGAAAAACCATTTTATTAATCTGAATGTTGAAAAAAAATTCCTTCGAAACAATTAGCAGTTTTTGCTTGCCAAAAGATTCAGATAGGAGTCTTGTAAAATGAAGTGAATTATTTCAAAATAATTTTATAGCTTTCAAAATGTATCAGTTAATTCAGAAAAGGGTGATACCAAGCTATTCATCGCTCGCTATGGTTGTGAGTCATACAAGTACCGAAAAAGTGCAAGTTCCATCCGTATAAGACTCAATGACTGACACATAAAATTTTGGGAAATTATGAGAGATCAAACTTCGAGAAATAGTAATTTTCCTGAACAGGAAAGGGTAATTTTTTGGGAGAGATTAGACTGGAAGTTTCCCATATTTTTTGTACAGAGATTGAGAAGTAGAATAAAAAATTTCTCAAAAAGTTATTTCCTATTGCACGTGTTTTTTTCGGACAAGTGTATTTTTGTTTTGGTTGGTCTACTTTGGTTATAATCTCCAAACGTTTCAACTGCAACTGCGGTGTGGTTGAAGTACTCTTCTTGCCGTGTCAACTGAAACTCTCATTTCTGCCGTGTCATTTATAGTGCGGATTTCTCGCGTTCTTTCTGTAATGGCGGGTTCGCGCGTACTTTCCTCGCGATTTGGTTGACTTAGCTTCGTTTTGGCGCTTTTCAATGTAGTATGCCAGATCTTTGGCATGACAACTCATTTCCAATGGAAAAAAAAATTTATGTACAAATTGATGGAGAAAAAAGAGCCATTCAAACCTCAGAAAAACGACCGAAGCACTGGTTCATTCGTTTTTGAAGCCATGGAAAAGAAGAGCTTCCTAAATTATCTGAATAGCTTTCATACAAAAATCCAGTTCACCAAGGAATTAAAAGAAAACCTCCAAATCCCATTCCTCGATGTTTTTTTCGTCAAGGAAGGCAATAAACTAGGTCATGAAGAAAGGTACGTCGACGACAGAATAAAACACCTAACAAATGTGTTACAAGCGAACGGCTACGACAGAAAAGATATAATCCGCGCTACGCGTCCAAAAGAGAAGAGAAACACCAGTGAAGATCAACCCCAAGGCACTGTCTATCTGCCATACATAGAAGGTGTCACCAACCGATTCGGGAAAATTCTAAAGAAAGAAAAAATTAACAACATCTTCAAACCAACGAAGTATCTGAGATCAGCAAAAGATAGCAGAGATTCATTCAAATCGGCGGGGGTTTACAGGATTCCATGTAACTGTGGTAGTCTATATCGGCCAGACAAAAAGAAGCATTGGTACCCGCCTAGTTAAGCACCAGCGGAGTTGCCGATTGGGTCAGACCGAGAAGTCTGCAGTCGCTAAACATACACTGTCCGACGGGGAACACAAGATCCTGTTCGAAAATACCGAGAGGCTAGCAACGTCGAATAATTATTCAACAAGAATGTATTTAGAAGCCATAGAAATACACGAACACCAAGAGAACTTCAACAGAAAGGATGAGAGAACATACCTATCACATATCTGGGACACAGCATTGACAAGTGCCAAAACGAAGCCACGTCGACCAAATCGCACAGAAAGTACGCGCGAACCGGCCATTACAGAAAGTGTGCGAAAAATCAGCTCTATAAATGACACGGCAGAAATGAGAACTTCAGTTTCAGTTGACACTAAAAGAAGAGTACTTCGATGACTGCCGCAGTTGTAGTCGAGACATTTGGAGATTATAACCAAAGACCACAGCAGAACCCGGAAACCAACCAAAACATTGACGCCAGCCTCAAAAGCCTTCAATCCTATATAAGTGTATTTTCTTTCTGAATAATATCATGGTGATTCACGTGGTACACACAAAACCTTCCAATGTGAACATGTGGCCTGGTAATTTTGAAAATTTCTACTGGTCTCTTTTCTTCCTGGAAATTCGCTAGTGATAAGTACCTAGATTTACTCTAAAATGCCATCACTCCAGCTCTTACTAATAACATAGAGTATGATCCCGCAAACATTGCAAAGAAAATGGTATTTCAACAAGATGGTGCTATTCCACATCACTCACAAAATGTACTGAGTGGCCTCCTTGGTCACCCGACTCAAGACCTTTATTATTAGTCAGTGGGCTATGTTGAAGACTGGCAGTAAACAAATCTAATGAAATGAACTTTGAACGTTCAAGCCAGTCTCGAATATACCTACACAGTAGGTTAAATGGACTGACGCCTATCAGAAAACAACTTCTCCCCTGGCTAATACCACGAAGGGCATTGGATTATATCCGACAGGCATCAGTGCACAGAAAACAGTTGGTTAGTACCTCGTCCACTATATGGAGTGACATTTTGTTGTTTCGCTCCAACTTAGGAAAAGGAATGAAATACTCTGAAAAAATTTCTATTTTCAATTATGGAATATCATTGACTTTAAGTCGATGATGGTCACTATCTTGCACTGATGAGTGGCTAATGAGCCCGAAACCGGTCTGCAAGTGTGCCCGTTCCAAAATGCAGGAAATTTTCTGTGAAGATTCCTGCACTGACGCCTGTCGGATAGAAACCAACGCCCTTCGTGGTATTAGCCAGGAGAGTAGTTGTTTTCTGATAGGCGTCAGTCCACTTAAACTTATACCTAATTTACGAACATGTTATCTACTGAAAAATCACAATTACCTGGAAATCACGAAAAGTCGGAGTCCATTTCATGCCTTCCAATGATTGCACTAGGAATAAAATCTTATGTATTGGGGTAATATGTCGTGGGAGGGGCCGCATTGTTCATAGGGGGGTATTGCTGTTGATAGTCGGTGTAGGGGGGAGCGGGCGCCGTCGACGCAGGCGGGGGGTAAATAGTCTGCGCGGGAGGAGGAGGGTACTGCTGGGGGTAAGGATTGTGATATCCTCCGTACATAGGCTGAGCAGGAGGTGGATTATTGTAATCGTAGCCAGGTTGTGAGGGCGGTGGAGGGGGATAGTGCGGTTGGGGAGGCGGTGGAGGATAACCCTGATAACCATAATTGTACTGCGGTTGTTGGGGTTGAGGAGGATACCCCATCATATCGTACGGGGGAGCAGGTTGGGGTGGATATCCATATCCTTGCGGGGGAGGAGGCCCGTGATATGGCGGTGCGTTGTAGTTGTAGTAATTGTTGTAGTTACCGTACTCAGGAGTTTCGGTTTTGGGCTGCATGTCGTTGGCGGAGGAAGGCTGAGATCCGGCAGTTTGTGCCGAGTACTGCGACCCACCTGGAGATTGATCAGATACGTATGTGACCTCATCACTTTGATCACTTATTTCACTCTGTTCGTGTTGTTTTGGGTCCGACGTTTCGGAAATGTCGTCTTCGAAACTTTCCAAATTGTCGTCATTAGTAGCATGATATGCACTTGTAATACTGTCCAGAGTATCCTGTTGAAAATCAAATATAACATCTCAGCTTAAATAGCAAATATCAAATGTAGTACAATACAACAAAAACATTAATTTTATATCAATTTATAGGAAAATGGACACGCAACTTTCAATACATTCATCTTACATCAAAAATCACAAATGCTGTCAATGTGTATCACTCTGGTGTTAACTTTGAGGAAGATACAAAAAATAGACTTCTTTTCCTTTCACAAGTGTTGAAAAACGTAAGAAGTTTTAATTTTCATTTTTCATAATGATCTCCTACCATGTAGTTACATCCATCAATTTATATATTCTCTAATGTGTGCATTTATGGGTATTTCATTTCATTTTTATTTGTCTTAAGAAACTAAAGATAGATGATAGAATAATATATAGTTCTGGGAATATAATCGAGGTTGACAATAATTGTTTTATGTTATATTGAAGAATAAAAACATATATGATCTACATACAAGATAAAATACATTTCAAGGGATGGGATTGTCTCAAGAAAATTTTACATTTTATAGACACGTCCAAGCCTTAACCCAAATAACTACAGACAGATGATAGAATAATATGTAGTCCTGGAAATATAATCGACGTTGACAATAATTGTGATATGGGATATTGAAGNTTGTTGGCTTCATTCACTTCATTTACGTTAAAAAGAATGACATTTGAAGCCCTATTCTGTCATTCTAACATTTCCTTTATTATTGTTTCTGGATCCATTTCACTCTCCAGCTTTTCCACATCTTCTGATTTCTCTGTTTTCTTAACTTAGGGTCTTGAAGTTATTAATTATTTCTTCACTTTTCATGTTTTGTCGTTCGAGTCCATTCATCCAAGATTTACACTTGCTTTGAGTTCACACATTTCGCCTTCCCAATCACGTTTATGGGATCAAAAAACTCTTTCAGCACTGTTTTGAACATATTTTTCATCGTATCTTTCTCGTCGTGAAACATTTCACGTTTCTGGTGTCATAACCTCACTTTTATCTCGCTGTCTTCAACAAACAATTTCTCCACTGACGTTCTGCAACTTTGACTGTACTGCACAACTAGGATGAAATGTTGCCTGACGGACAATGCATTTTTCAGAATTTATCACTTTCTTTTTAGAGTATTTTCAAGCTGCAAAAATTTTGACGTAGTACTTGCAGTCGTCATTTTTGTTGATTTAGAATAACAAGTACTATAAATGAAATTTTATTTGTTAAAGTTGAATTTCATAATGGTGTCGTTATAGTTGAATTCTATTATTGCCTTTGGAAAAGACAACTCCAAAGAAGGAAAAGTAGGATGGTATCCATCCTCTGGCATAAATGCTATTTTTTTTTTCGATATAAATGGCATTTAAGATTAGGGAAAAATAGATCAAGTAATCACTTTGATGTATGGAGGATAACATTAAGATGTAAAAATATCGAATCATGGAAGTGGAGATTACACAGTGTGAGTGTGAGCGGATTTCGTATTTTATGCCATCTCTTACAGGGTGAGCTTATAAAAGACATTTGGAAAAAATATATTTCCTCCAAGGATACCACGATAAAAACCACCATGAAATCACTTTCAACAAAATGAAAAATGTATAAGGTGAGAGAATTTTATTTTAAGTAACCCTTAGATGATTTCCTTATAACAGTCAGTTAGTTTGGCGCATGTTTGACAATACAGTCGATCAACGTTATTATTATTATTATAAAGAAAACCGGCATCTTCATGTACTGAAGACGTCAAGTTGGTTGGTGAAACGCGCATCGAGAAGAGTATCGCATTTTTGGTGATTGGGAAAAGTGCTTGTTTTGGATTTGAATAGAAGTTGACTATATGGTAAAACCATTGATTACAATTTTTATAGATAGTAAAACGAATGACGAAGATACCTAATAGTTCATGAACACCATATAAAAATTGAATAATGCCACATAATGCATGTTCACTAATATTAGTTTTTGAATATTTTGAATGGCAAGTTACAAAACTCGATAGTAGCCAAACTACCATTATTTGTTCTCTTTCGTCTGTTAGCTATAGGAACATAGATTTATTTATTTCTTGTATTGTTGTTGTACATCCTACAAGCGACATTAATCCTTAAGTTCTGTTAAACAAGAAGAAAATTTTCATAAACAGTGATTGAATATAGGGCCATAATTTCAAGTTTCACAATATTGTTTGGAACTTTTCATCAAATTTGTCAGACTATTATTCTGACTGCAGATATTTAGAAAAAAAATTAGTCTATCCAGATATACTTTTAATGCATGCTTTGCTCCAATTAATTTGAGTGAGTGATTTGTTTAATGATTAAATGACTATTAAATTATTTAATAGCAAAAACTGACTCAATTACAATATGTAATATCGATATGTCCTATAAAATTCAAGTTGGAATCCATCTTATAATTTAGTAGGTTACAGCAGTTCATTTCATTAATTCGGACTTCCATTGTCTAATATGATATAAATTGATTTGAAATCCCGGGAAGAATCTATAAAAATTTAAAAAAAGTTTCGATTGTTAGTATCCACAATTGTCTTCGGGTCATCACCATTATTGAATAAGTTCATTCAAAAAAGTTTTTTTAAATTAGAATGCAATATTGAGATTTGAAATCATAGCCACCTACGTAACAAAACAAAAGAATTCATTTTTATATTTTTCTAGCCTCATAAAGAGTACTAGTACTACTTACAGATTTGTATTAACTTAAATGTTTGAAATAAATAATTTAGTCAATCATTTCTTGTCATTAAATCATACTTATTATGGACATATATACAGAGTGAAATATCAATTTTGCACAAAAAAACTAGTGAAACAAACATTTCAACAAACATTGATATACTAGTTCGAATATTGGAATAAAATTTCGTATTGAAATATTATTATAGTAATATGAGGGAGGAGCCTAAGATATGAGATACTATTACTCTTTATGAGGTTAGAATTAGTGATCGACCGAAAGTTCGGTTTCGGTCGAGTTTCGGCAAAAAAACGAGTTTCGGTTTCGGTAGCAAACCTGCCGAAACTACGGTCGAAACCGAAACTGCATTCGGGAGTTCCCGCGCTGTGATCAGTCATGTTCGGCGCGCTGAATTTATACAAGCCGCGTCCACGTGCCTAATGATGTCGTGACTTACTTTGTGATTTACTTTGTTTATTACAGAAATATTAAGTATCTATTGTGATATTAGGTAACAACTTAAATAAGTAATTTTATGTTTAATATTTTTGAAGATCCTTCAAAAGAAGGATCTACACCTACTCAAATAAACACCTCACCTATTTTAAGTATTTTTACAGTGCAATTCATATTTTTGATTATCGATAAGTAAAAATGTCGAAGACTCCATAACGTGATTTAAAGATAAAACAATAAATACTGACTGATTATAATAACGTTTTCTTAATTTTTCCCCCAAAACATAATCCTTGTCAGGAAGATTCGGTTTCGGCCGAAACTGAGACCGTTGCCGAAATTCGTTTTTGGTTTCGGTCATAAAAACCAGTTTTGATCGGACACTAGCTAGGACCATAACAAAATGATTTTTTTTGTTTCGTTACGTAGATGGTTGTGATTTCAAATATGAATATTGTTTTCAAATTTAAAGAACTTTCTTAATAATAATAATGGCTATTGGCCTCATCAGCACGCTGTAACCAAGTGCATTTTATCCATGTAATTAGGCTGTAATAGCTTGTGTGGATAATAAATAAATAAATAAACAGAAGCCTACCTACCGTTCGTTTGTGTTGTTTCCCCGTTTTTGGCAAAGAAGTATTGCCTTTCTTTGCACTTGACTACACCACGCTAATGAGGCCAATAACCAGAAATATATACATATACTAGCTGACCCGGCAAACGTTTTGCCACATAAAGTATTTCTATCAGAACAATAACACTTACAAATAATATAAATTCCTCAATGCTATAGTGTATATAATATTTTTCGTTAATCCATGTTTAGCAAACCATCCACTGGATAGTTTGCCCATTCGAGAGCATGCCACGTTTAATTGTCCATGTGAAAAACATGGTGTGCTTAAATTCAAGACACAAACGGACATTGTTTGGCCTTTGAGACTTATGAATAGTTATTGCAAATGCCAATCTAATTGGAAATTGCACACGTTTAAAATAAATTGGCACATCTGTAGGTATAATAGGTATTCGTGGTATTAATATATTTTCATCTCAGAACTTGACATTCAAAATGCTGACTTCGACCGTGGTGGTTTCAAATTACGGAACGATCCAACCTTCATTTGTAAATTATGCGGTGGCAACAAACTCTGTTGGATTATTTACTGCTTCAGTGGCATCGTAAACTATATATACAGAACCTATTTTCAGACCTACCAAATATTTATATAAAATTTCATGGAAATCGGTTAAGCCTTTTCCGAGGAGTATGGCAACTAACACTGTGACACGAGAATTTTATATTTTTATAAAATTGCAATTCAGAAAGTGTACAGATTCAACTTACTTTTTTCTGGATGCTCTTAATCCTCGACACCAAATTGGGCACGGACTGCTTGACGCTCTGCACTCCGAACTTCGTTGATCCTGGAGTGAACGGTTTTGTGGGTCTCTTCTGGGGCGTGACTGACAACGACGGGTTTCCTTTGATGGAAGGGGGCAACAAAGGCGGTTTAGATGCCTTGGCAGCTTCATTTCCTTCGTCAGCTTTACCCTTCACTTTGATAGCCGTCTTAATGGCAACAATCTTACCACTCTCAAGCTGCATGTAAACACCTTTTGGCGATTTGAGTACCAACACTTTCTGACCGGCTTTGAGTACGATGTTGCCTTTCTCGGGCTGACTAGTGGGAATGACAACGTCCAAAGGCAGGGTCATCTCCTGTGCGGTCATGCCTTGTCTCTGCCAATGTTCAGCAGGGATCCACCTACAATAATTTGAATTCATTCAATAAATGAAGAAATGTCCGCTAGTAAAACCGTTCTTTCAAATGACATGTAAAAATTTTTATATGATTGTGTTAATGTGGGAAAAAGAAAAAAATAATTGATGAAACATTGGTAATAAATTCATGAACACAAATTAATGTTTTCTTTGCCCAATGAACAAGTTTCTAATGATGACTGAAAAAATAACTTTATTATTGTCTACTATGAAGCTATAGCTACATAAAAGAAATATGCTAACCATTGAAATAATATTAAAATAAAATTGATGCAAAGATTCTGCATGCCAGATATTCCTTAGAATAGTGGGAATATTTAGTTTCAAGATTAATTATTACCGAATAAGTAGATATATTAGTGTTTTTCCGCCATTCAAAGAGCCTCAAACATTTCAAAACTCTCACTAATTTTGAGCAGACCTAATGTTGGTGAAAAATTTTGGCAAGAACTGAAAAACATTTTTTTTTTCAAAATTCATTGGTGATAAATTAGTATCAAATCAACCTCTGATAATTTTGAAATCTGCTTCCACACTCAATTTTAAATTATACCAGCTATTAATGGTATATAAAATCACATTATCATCTGTAAAAGACTGAATTTTTCCTTCAGTTCGCATATAAAATAGATTATAGAGATATTTATAGAATCATATCAGACCCAAAACAGAACCTTGAGTAATTTCATAAAAAAAAATTTATTTCTAGTTTGCAACTAAATTTCCGTTAGATTGAATGCAATTTTATGAAATAAAATAGCTTTTAATATTTTAGACTTAAAAACTAATTTACCATACATTTGAGATATACGTTGTTGTCAGAAAGAACAAGAAAAGTACTGAAGCTTTTCTTAGAAGAGGAGATAAGTAATAATGAAGAAATAGTCCAATATGATTTCGAAGTTGGGAATTTTGATCATAAAAACAGTACTATCCGAGAACGAACAGTACTAACAGAGAAAAGTATTTCAGATAAAGTGAAAGATGGTTTATCTGAGAACAAAAGCGGTAACTATCATTATCATTTTTTATCTGTGAGTTAGTTTCACTTTTATCAAGTAAGTTAGATGTAATTATGTCTGTATTCATATGATTTATTGTGAAATCTGGGTGTTAACCCTTTAATGAAATAAATTAAATTAAATCTTCGTTCTGCTGTTCCATTGTCATTCTCAGCTACATTTTCAGGTTAGTTATCTTCTGTTTCAGTCTTCTTTCCCAGTCTTATTTTTTTTCAAATCTTCTTCACATTTTCTCGGTTGAACATGTTCTTCTCATGTTAGGAATGTGCCGACTTACTCTACCAGTTTTAAGTACATCAATAAGTTTTTGGGGAATAGGAGATATTTTCATTGATATACACGTTGGCATTAAGTCTGGATTATCATTTTTTTGTGGTGGCCTTGAGATAGACGGAAGTACTGAGATAACTTTCGATATCCTTGTCAATCATGATGGTCCTAAGTCTTTCCTTTGATATCATTTCAGGGCTTGCATTTGAGAATCAGTATTTCTCATTACAAAACATTGACTCTGAGATTTCAGACTCATCTAGCTCTTCTGAAGTTCACGAAACTTCTTCCAGATTAGTAGACATTGAATTGTTGATGCTGATGGCAGCTAGTTCTTGAGCTATAATTGTAGTTGGCGAGATATTATGAGAGGTTGATGCAAGTTCATTTACTTCTTGTATGAAAGCATAATCGGGGATTGCAGACAGATTAAAAGGACTAACACCAGTAGCTTCAAATCCTGCAATGTTCTGCACTAGGATTTTGTTTTAACCACAGATGGTATTGTTCGTAAAACGGATTTTCAGTGACTTAAACATAGTACGTTCTAACGGTTGTAAGTAGTGAGATGTATGAGTTGGCAAAGAAAGCATAATTATGTTGTTTTATTCAGTATGCTTCAACATTCCTATTGAGCTGCAATGAGTAGAATGACCGTCCAACAGAAGAACCTTCCCTGGGACGAGTGTGTTTGCAGCCATTCTAAAAATATGATGGAAGTTATGTAGGCAGATTTGGTAGACATAAAAATCTTCGATCCAGCAGGTATTCCATGCTCAAATTTTGCTTTCTTATTTTTGCCTTCCATTATTCAAGGAGGAAAAAATGTACCTTTAGCACTACAACAGCCTATAACAGTTATTATCTTTCCTTTTTTCAGTGGATGTCACTTTGGATACAGATTTGGACCCCTTCTCAGCTAGTATGTGTCCAGGACAGTTATTTAATTGCAGTTCTGCCTCGTCCGTATTGAAGATATAATAGCATCACGTCATTGACCATTAAAACAGTTTCTAAAAACTTGAAATAAGCATTCACTTCGGACTTATTCGTAGCAATAGAGCACGCCAAAGAAACTTCTTTTGATTTTCGAATCAAAATATCAGGACGTATGCTCAAAAACACAATTGCATGCCTTCTCAGTTTCTTTATTAAAACGTATTTTATATTTAATTGTTCAGCAAGCAGACACGCGATCTTTCTAACATAATCGATCTTCAAAGGAAAACCTTTTGCTTACATGGTTTTGATGTGATCTGCAAGCTTCCTTTCAGTTTTTTGCCAAAAAAGGATGTTAGTGCCATAGGTCCTATTTTATCATTATTGTTTTAAAACGTCTACCTCTAAGGTTTTCTTTGAATATCATAGGCTTTAACTGCTGCATAAACTGTAATTTCACAAATTTAAAAATGTTTATTGCAGCCTTTAAGGACTGACTCTCCACTCCAATTCCATCAGAAAGACAATGCTTTTGTTTGGTACTTGTTTGGCTTTTGAAATAACCACAAGTAACGCTTAGTAATAAGAATAATCTAACTCTGAAAATAGGTGACCATCTCTCCTAATCTTACGGGAGAGATGACCACACATCATGTGATATGTATCACAAACATTTGTAGATATTTTGAGGTAATGTTGAAGTATGGCTCATAATCCAACCCAAAAACACATGAAAAAAATAATTTTTGAAAAACTACACAACAACATGTCACACAAACACCTCATCTAATTTTTACACTGGGCGAAAGAAATTCAAGGGTTTTACTTTCTGTATGTATCTTATTCACAAATATTTTTGCAAGCAAAGTCATCGTAACCACAACTTGAAGCAAAGTGAGTGATCACTAGCACCATCTAACGAATATTTCAACAATTTTCTACAATTGGCTATCTCTCCCTTATGGCCTATCTCATGAAAAATGGTAATCTATTACCTGCCAAATTGTCTTACCAAAATCGAAGGTTGATTTCAAAACTATTTCAAAACTGTATAGGAGATAGATAACAAATAGAGGCCCAACAAATAACTTTAGGAGAAAATAATTGTACTGATGAGTTTGGAATACGAAATAAATTCTGATTTTATTCATACAGAGCTATAACTATAGAAAAAAATATCCAAATAAGTCAAGCGTGCCAAAAAAATACAATACAATGAAGGTTTTATAGTCAGTGTACATCATAATGAGCATGGCATTCAAGTGATTTGATTTCCAAATATATAATCAACTCTAAAAAGATTTTCAAATTCAGTACTCCGAATCAGCTAGAGCTTTTGAAAATAAAAACACGGATGGAATTTGTTAGATGAAATAAAGACAAGATGATACAAACCTCGAAGGTCTTTCGCCTTGCTGCATAGGCCTCACCGAAGCAACAGGTCGATGCCCCCTTGACGAACCCATCAAACTATACGGTGGTTGCCGTGATGCTTGCTTCTCTCTTTCATATCCTTTCTTAGCCAACCGTTTCTCCTGTTGAGACAGCTGCTTCTCCTTACGATCAACGAGAAGAGACTCATGCTGAAACGGTTCCTTGTTGAGACCTTTTCCGTGTCTCTCCAAAACCTTCTGGAGCACTACATCGATGTAGTTGTCTTTCGTATCGGCATAGTCATGCACTTCACATTCATCACGTTTGTCGTCCCAACACAATGTGCTGACGTCCTTCATTGTGAGATGCGCGTCCGGATTGCATTCATCTACAACTCGATCAGACATTCCTAAAAGGAAAATAGTATTTAAATTGAAGATTGATTCTATTCTTTGGAACTTATTTATTTAGTTATTCACATTCCAATAAGAATCTATGGATGGAAAAGAGTATATTTGTCCAACTTAGATTTATTCAATATACTTTTTTTTTGTTTATTTTCTGAATTTGTCATAGGTATTGATCTTAAAGAAATTTTGGTAACTCATAGAGGGATATTGTTTTCTGGTGCTTAAGTACTCAAAGTGTAAATGTTATTTGTAGTTATTATAATTATCAGCATAAAAAACATAAAAATTACTTTTTACAATTGAGTATATGGGTCGGGTAAAATACTGTATTTTCTGGAAGTAATTTTGAAAAAATCTTGATAAAATTTTAAATAAAACATGTCATTCTTTTCATGTTCAGATGCTATTGCACAGTAATGCCTGAAATTTTTTCACTCAGAGAATCACATAGTACACTTCATTTAGTTTTTTGTATATAGTGAATGTAAGGAAAAATTGAATTAAGAATCTAGCCAGGTACCAAACTATTTGGTATTACTACCAAAAATGTCCCAATCCTCCCTATAATTTATAGATTATTACAATTGAATCCCTGTAACCTACCTCATTACACATATTCGTTTCTGAAATTCTTTCTTTGATATTCCAGAAGTAGAGACGCCAAATGACAGTGGCTGTTCCGAATTAGGCAAGTGAAATATTGTCTGAGAATTTGTAAAATATTGAGCTTCTTAGCTTATAATATTGATAAATGATGTTGAAAGCACTCGTTTCATTTCTACTGAGTATGTTTCAAAAATACATAGCATTTCATCATACATTAATGTGTTCCATTATAGGTAAATTTGAGTGGGGGAGTGAATAGTACTAATTGACCATCTGATCAACTAATCATATGAATGTATATACGTACTGTTATTGTGACAAGAGCAGATTTGTGTCTAGTTACATAAAGTTGTAATGTTATGAAAGAAATCAGTGCTTTTTCTTGTGATATAATGCACCAAAACGGTGCTGATGATGAGATCAGACTTACGTCCAACTAAATTACTATTGGATTACGATAAGCCCCTTGCCGGGGAGTGTCATACCTATAATTAGTTTTAATTATGATAACAAATGAAACATGACTTCTTTGCAATTTTTTTCCACACTTCATTTAGTATTACTGGTAGTACAGTTCATTAAAATGTTATATAATGATAAATTTTTCCAAAAATAAACTTTAATCAGTCACTATCTGAATAGAAACTTTCTTCATCTTCACTGCTACTTGGGCTGCTATCGTCATTTACATTCATAATAACTGGATTTACCACAGTTTGAACATCTGTGAATGTTTCATTTTCCCAATATTTCTGCTCTATATCTAATACATGTCGGCAATGCTTTTGCCATTCCTCGGAAGTGATTAAATCAAACTCGTGCTCCGTCAGTTTCTTCACATCTTCCAACTTGAAAGTTGCATTCTTTTGGGACACGTTGTTTTCGACAGTAGCCTAAATGTCTTCAATATTATGGTATGGAGCATTATCGGTCAGGACTACCGAATTCACAAGTGAATTTGGGATTAACTTTTCTTGTAACCATTTACCATAATTTTCAGAATTCATTTCTGAACGATAATCCCCTGATGTTGTGCCTGATTTAAATATAAGCAGACAATTAGGTATAAAACCCATGTCACCTCCTGCATGGACAATAATAAGTCTTAGTCCCTTCGCAATATTTTTAAATAACCCTTTGGTTGATTCATCCGTCCAGTTCTTGAAAGATGTATGTCCACTATGAAGGTATGTTTCATCAAGAAACACAATTAGTTGCTGTTGGCTACGAAAATAATTGTTTTTTTGTAAATACTCGATCCTCAATGCTCTAATGTCAATTTTCTCTATTAAAATTTTTCAATTATTTTCAGTTCTCCTCTATTTAAAACATATTTTCTTTGAAATTCTAAGAAGAGATGTTTCGGAAGCCACAATTCCCAAATTGTCATTAATTTTGTGTTGGAACTTTTTTTACCGTAACACGACACCCTTCCGTCTTATGAAAGTCATAAATAATCCGTCTAATATTAGGATACTCATACTCGGGAATTTCATTTACTGGTGCTCTTCTAGACCGCTTCTTTCTTGGGACGGAAAATTTTACTTCTCCGTTATTTGCAGAAATTGAGTGCTCCCCTTCTTTAACCTCTTTTTCAATGGTTCTTATTGAAATACCTAATACAAAATGAAGATTTGTGTTGAAATGGTTATTTTTTTAAAATTTATTTAATGTTACCTGTAGGGAAGAAAGCTAAAACCTTTCTTTCCCAGATTTGTGACATAGAAGAATGGAGCATCAGGGATCTAGATGCATTTGGAACCATCCAAGGCCAACACAATACTCAAAGGTTTAGTGTATGTGAAAAACAATGTAGATAACTTTTGTCAACTGTCTAATTATCTCAACTACCCCTCATTATGATTTACTCAGAGATAAACACAAAAAACTTTTAAAAAAACAACATTCTATAACGGTAACTATAACAAATCCGAAAATTAAACAAAAAGATACTTAACGATTGCCTCAATTCTGTTGAGGCACTTTTCGATATCCGACTGTTTATTACTTTTTCAACATTTCTGTACATATTCATTTTATTCTATTATTGTCCTGTAAGTTCATAATTCATGAATTATAATTAAGCACACTAAAATGACTTATCACTCATATTAATTAAGATTTTGATTGACTTTCAAAAATTACAAGAAAATGTTGATGAGACAAATTGTATAGGTACCTCAATGTTTCAAAAGTTATGTCCGTTTGTATGAGTCTACTTTAAACTGTAATATCTCAGTGAACTTATTTAATCAAAATAAGGGCCATTTGAATCAGTGCACTTTTGCTAACATAACACAAGTCGATTAATCCGATCAGCATAAAAATTATGATGAAGAAAAGAGAAATTAAACTTTCTGTTTTTTACCACTTTTATTTGTAACTGACGTTACTGCAGTTTCGTCCTATACGGATATTTTCAAACTTATACAATAATGTCCGTTATTGTATAAGTTTGAAAATGTCTGTATATTGTATAAGTTTGAAAATGTCCGTTTACTGTATGCGTTTGAAAATGTCCGTATAGGACGAAACTGCAGTAACGTTAGTTACAAATAAAAGTGGTAAAAAACATAGAAAGTTTCATATCTCTTTTCTTCATTATGATTTCCTACCACGTAGTAACGGCTACATCCATCAATTTATAAAAATTATGTACTCGGGATTCGATGAAGTCAACGAAGGCCGTTTTTGCATGGTCTTGATTGGCGAAGGTTCTACTGGTGAGAAAGTTATCGAAGTGCTTGAAAAGATGGTAGCCGTTTGGCGAGAGGTCTGGAGAGTATGATGGATGAGGCAGAACTTGAACGCTCAATTCGATTGGGTTTCTGATGCTGATTTGTGAAACGTCCGAACAGACGTTGTCATGGAGAAGGCGGACCTCTTCTGTTAACCAATGCCGACTGCTGCTGACGCAATTTTTTGTATATTTTGTCGATATCCACACAATAGGGCTCTACTGTGATAGTTGGGCCTGGTTGGAGAAAGTTATAGTAAATCACACCAGCCGCTGACAACCATAAAGTAACTACGTTCATTTTTTGGTGAGTTTTCACTTTTGAAAAGTGCCTGGGTGGCTATCAGTATCCAACCACAGTCCTGAATGTCTCCTGTTGTGTTAGAGGATCCACTTTTCATCACAAGTGACGCTCCAATCCAAAAAAGGATTATTTTGGTTGCGCAAAAGCAAAGAGCAACAGACTTCGAATTTCTGTCGATCGTTCAAATTGTGGAGCACCCACTTTCCAAGCTTTTTGACTTTTCCAATATGTTTTAAACCAAAAACACCGCATGGGAGCTATTACCCAGTTTTTCCGCCATCTCATGCATCGTTTGTGATTGGCCAGTCTCCACAAGGGTCCTCAAATCCTTTTCCTGGATTACTGTAAGTCAACCACTTCGGGGATCATCTTCAAAGCTGAAATCTTCGGAACAAAATATCGCTAACCAATGTCAAAGACTGCGTTCTTTAACACTATCATTGCTAAAGGCCTGGTTAATTTTCAAGGCTATTTCGGCAACGTTCAATTTGAATTCATAGTGAAAAATTATCAGAAAATCGCTTAACAACCTCATATAGTAAGTAATAAGCTGAAAACAGGGAAAATAAAATTCAATTTGTAAAAAATGAACTACATCAATACAGAGTACAATATTCTCTGATTATGTACGTTAAAAGAAACCCAAGTTCACTAATGAGGAATGACAATACTCATACGTATAATACTAAGAGTAAACAAAGACTTCGACAACTCTTCGCAAAGTTATCAGTCTGTGAGAATTCACCAAAACAATTGGTATCAAATGTTTCAATAAAATAAGAGATATAATAAATGTGAATCTGAATGATATTTTTTTAATAAATAAATTGAGAAATTTCCTTCTTGAAAAAGTATTTTATAATGTTGAAGAATTTTATATTTCCTAATAACTTGCTTTTGTGAAACTGAATATTGTATGTATAAAATATTTTGCTTTGCGACTATGTACTATCTTAACAATTTATTTGAAGGTTAACTTTATTTTTTGGCTAGTTTGATAAGTTTTATACATGTGTATGTATGATGCCTTGTATAATATTTGACTGATAAATTTCATTATTAATATTATATATCACGACACATCAAAATAAATATTTATTGAGATATGGAGCAACAAAAATGCATGACATTGAAAAGGACAAAACTTTTGAAATACCTTATAAGATGTACTTTTGACATGGTTGAATGAATACTACTACCACAGCTGTATTGCTTGATTTTAGACATCCTATCTTGTAGTAGCTACTGATCCTCCAACTCCTTAGACATTTTCGGAAATGATAAATCAAATATCCTACTTCCAGGAAGTAGTCCTTGTTTTTCAGTGGAATTGTTGAAACGGTTTAATTTAACTTGGCAAATTTCACGAAATTATGAGCAAAATTTCTCCATGTTATTCAACATGCTACATCACCAATCAATCATATGGTCACTTCCCTATTGTATGATCATATATATGTATATAGAAGCATACTCCTGCTGTAAATGCATATTTCCATTAATTTCTCAATATTTTTCAATTTCCCTCAATGCAATTACGTGTATATGAGGTAAGTCAAAGAGATCTAAATCATAAAAAGCTAAAACTTTCAGTTGATTTATAAAAGCTGTAATCAATTATGTACCTTGTTTATTTATTTGCCTATCATAGATCTTCTTTTCCAAACAATTATCGACGACCAATCTGTAAACAAAGCATGGCTTCCTCTGACCATACCTATACACTCTACAGACAGCTTGTGTGTCATGACATGGATTCCAAGAGGCGTCGAGGACTACTACACGATTGGCACCCACCAAGTTGATACCCAGAGAACCAGCTCTTGTGGACACCAAAAACAGATGAATCTTCGGATTGGAATTGAACTCGTTTATGAGTTTTTCTCTTTCCAACGCACTAGTCGAGCCATCCAAGCCTGTGAAATTTTGGATATGATCAGAGATAAATTGAAGGTATAATTAACGACTTGATACTCACGATAATAGCTTGTATTCTTCGCCCAGTTGAATGTCTCTCCTGGCACCCTACTCATCTGAAGGAACTGCTCGATAAGATCCAAGGTTATGAGTGATTGACTAAATACTAAGAGCCTGTCTCCTAAGGCTATACTCTCCTTTATTATACAGAACAGGATTTCCATTTTGGCGGAATTTTCTATGCAACCAGGCTTGTAGTCTCTAAGAAGTTCCAGTGCCTGAAAAGATTTACGAAATGTCAAATTATATATTTACTTAAATAAGTTTTATTCCCGAATGTTTCCTTCTATAATCTTGGAGGTTAGGTTGCCTGATGAATGACGTTTGGTTTAGATTTTAACGTTTCAATTCTGAAACCTCAGACTGAATTAGAAAATGTAATATACTTCATCATTTATCTATTAGTTGCCTTCTTTATTGAATGTAAGTTAAAAACTTATATGAATTGAAATATAAATCTGAAATATAAATCGCTAATTTTTATAATTTTAAATAGAATTGAAAACTTGGATAAAATAGAAATCTTTGAATGGAAGTAACAGGCTGTGATGATTTCAAATGTGTGGAATATCTGAGATTTTTGTTGTTGAAGAAGCCCCATGCAATTTTTTGTACTTGTGCACAAACTTATCTTTTCCCAAAACATTCGTTGAAGTTATCTCCAAAGTTCTCTTGACATTTCTGAGTTGTCACTTTCCTTAAAACAAATAGGTGGAGGGTGAAATAGCAATTTAGTTTTAATTGAAAGGGAGTATATTTTGTAGAAGCGATAATTTTTTTTAATAGAAAGATTTTTGACTTTCCACTTCTCCATCTTTATACAAAAAAATGTGTGAAAGGAAGGCATAAGGCAATTAATTTAAAAAATCACTCTTTACAAAGATGTGCAGATCATACAATGATGTTACTTTCAGATACAAACTATAAACAACTACTTTCATATGAACATTTAATTACATGAAGAAAAAAGTACTCTTGAAGTAACTACTTTCATATGAACACTGCATTATACGAAAATAACTTTTTCCCAATCAGTTTGTACCACAAACACTCGTTGTGGAATTGAATCAGTACAAACTCAATGCTCATTTATGAAAGTAGTTATTTACGAAGGGTTTTTTCTTCCAGTTTGCATCTGAAAGTAACTCATATGTATGATCCACAAATCTTAAAAAAGATTATTTTGAACTCAATTGTTTTCTTCCTCCCTTCATAAGTTTCCCACATTTGTTCCTATAAAGATGAAGAAGTATAACGCTAAAAAACTTTCTTTTTCAAAAACCAATTTAGCGATTTGCCCTCCACAATCAATCTATTTTTAAATCTTTATTAAATCATCATTTTTAATGAAGTCAGAAGAGATCGGTAAGCACAACAGATTGGATGGCTTTCTTCTAGGACATGAAGATTTTCTTGGCGAGAGATGATTTTTTTCATGTGTAACTTTCTAACCTACTCAATGATTAATAATCTCATCTGAGTTTAGGAATAAACTCAATAAAAATTTAAACATTAGGAAAGAAATTTAAAAAACTGATTCAAATGCTCATATCAACTAACTACTAATTTCAACATCAGACAACAGAATTAATGAAGAAAAATCATTATCTGTTCCAAATTCTTATATCGGCTGATTTCCAAGATTCAAACCATTCTCTTTCAGAGGCAACACCTCACTGTCAACTAAAATATGGTTTGAAAATGTGAAATTGGTCTTAATTTTCAAGAAACTACTCCTATGCTCTTTTATTCTTTGGGAAAAGTTTTTTCCCGTTTGGCCAATGTAAATCTTTGGGCAAGAACCACAAGTCAACTTATACAGAGTGGCCATATTTTTAATGATAATTTGGTAACTTTTAAACCATAAGAGTTACAAGGTTGGTCAAATGGAGAAAAAGTTGCATTCATAGAAGCACTGTCAAGTGGTTCAAACAAATCGCGAATAACAGTTTATTGAGATGTAAGAAAAGTAAATTCTGTCATTTTGATTTTTCTTTTTTTCACGGGTTATTTAAAAAATTATCAACAAATTTTACAGGCATCAGATTTCGAATCCAACGTTTCGTACTCTCTAGGCCACCCTCGACCTCATTTTTTTTAAATACGAACATGCATATTTCATGACATTTTTTCGAAATAACTTTTCACGTTGAATTCAACGTTATATCATATAATGTCATTCAAAGTTGATTTTCAAATGATTTTGATCCTTATCCAAATTACTTTGGTTCGGATCTGTATTAAATTTACCTTTAGTTTAATCAACAACATGCAATACATTTCGATAAGAAAGTCAACTCACTCATCTTAAACTGAATGAAACTTATCGAAATCAAAGCAAGAAACAAGTGATATTTACATATTTCAAGAGGAGAAAAACTCAATTCATAATAATTGAAAGAAACTAACTTATTTGTAAAAAAAAATAAATGTTTATTCGAAAGTAAATGAAAATTAATGAAGTAAGTGTTTGAAATGTTCACCATTTTCTAAAATGCACTTCGCTGTTCTGGAACATAAACTTCTTTTATATTTGCTTATTTTATCTCCTTGAATACCTTCCAATGCATTCTCAATATTCTCGCAATTGTCAATTGTCGGATTTGTCATTTGTTCCATTGAAACAAATTACGGAATCGATTTTTTTTTCAAGATCATTGCAATATAGTTTTTGCAAGGCTTGGTAATCAAATTTAAAATCATTGTATCCGCGCCTCTTGGATCATATTGGATCATATTTGCGAATACCGTAGATCAATCTGAGACACGATTTCTGAATTTTTTCTATGTGATTTGTTTTCATAATACAATGGTACATAAGTTGAAAAGACAACAAACAGAGTATGTTTTGACATGTCAAACAAAAAATCCACACACCGTTTAAATTCACATTTAAAATATAAGAGAAAACTAGCTACAAAGGTGCCATTTCATTAAATTGTTAAATTTTCCAAACTGCCCCAAAGACATCATTTATTTTTAAAGTGCTTGGCTTATGGGTGCCTGCTTCACCTCAAATTTAAGTTGTTTATTTGAAAAGTTTTTCCACTCTTGCAGAAGAGTATTATATATTTTGCCGTAAAATGCTTCGGATTGTTTTTTTAGTATTCACCAAATTCTTTTTAGCTGTTCTAATGATCTTCTTGCTCTTGGAATCGTATTCGTGTATCATTGCTCCAGTAGTGTATTTATCTTTATTTTTATGATGATCACGGTAGTTTGCTCTAACCATCTCCCTAATTATTTTTTTTTGGTATAAAAACTTCACTTCATGCTGATACTGAACCCCAAAGTAATATTCCATGCTGCAAGCCTGTATTATACTAAAATACACAATTTTAAGAACATACCTGCTTACCACACTCCTCATTCTCCTTAGGACGAAACGGCCTTTGGAGTTTTTTATTAATTTCAATTATATGTGTTTCCAGTTTAGATTGTTGTCCATATAAAAACCTTGTAGGCGCACACTATTATCATTTTGATTTTTAGTTCTTTTGTTAAAATCTATTTTTTTTGGTTTTATCTTTGTTCAAACTCAACACATTCGAATTGTGATATTGTTCACATTTTTCTTGTGTTTCTTTTGTTATTTCTTCTAATATACTGGGAATTCTTGATGTAACTATAAGGGAGGAATCATCTGCAATGTCGACATATAATGGAAAATCATTTATATACCCAATAAACAGAAAAGGACCTAACACGGATCCTTGGGAAACTCCATGATGAATTTTCAGGATGTTAGATGTTATGTTGTTATGAATATTATATCGTCTTCTTCCGGGTAGGAAAGATTGCAATAGTTTTAACGCTAAACCTCTTATTCTGTATTTTCCAGCATATTTAGAAGCATATCGTGGCATACACTTATCAGAAGCTTTTGACAAATCACATCCCTGGTTAATATACCTGTGTCTTTATTTTTTGCTATAGTATGAATAATGTCTGGTACTGCTTGAGTAGATGAGTGTAACTTTCTCTGAAACCATACTATCTTTTGTTGATATATCCTCCTGCTTCAAGATAATCAGCGAGTCTGTGTTTTAACTTGCCAAAATTTGCCCAATTTTAAAGAACGGGGATGTTTCAAACATATCAAACTACAGAGCAATTTCAATTATCTCAAACTTCGCGAAGGCGTTTGAAATTATCTTGTATAAGCACATTTACTTGAGGGTTATTGTAATGAATCTATAATTATTACAGTCATTTTTATCACCTTGTTCATGGATGGGTGTAGCTCTACAAATCTTCAAAAAATCTTAAAAGTCACTCTTTGAGAAACAGTTATATTATGATCTAAACATGGTCTATACAAAACATCACAAAAGTGACTCAGGACAAGTGTGACAGAACAAGTCTGTGAGGGTAAAGCATTTTCAATGTTCAATGATCCTGAAAGAAGGTTGCAATTCAGTATTTGGTTTCAACGGAAGGTGCGGAATAACAACAATTTTCCGCACAATATAATTTGGGGAGAAAAACCGACATTTACAAATTCTGGTTAAACATCAACAAAAACATAATAATGTTGAATGAAAATTAAGAAAAGTTAACAATCATTTCAGTTATGTTTCTTAAGGAAATCAAAAAGTGAAAATGGATTATTTTCAATTTCGAATTTCTTCTCTACAAAATCTCTACTTACCCAGTCATATGGGATACCACTGTCTTCCTTTGACTCTCTGAGAACCATGGAACTCATCTTGGCAAAAATATTATCATGGGGTAGAGATGGAGGTGGTTTCATTTCATCTTCAGTTTTAACCTCGCTCTTAATCTCATTCTTCACTTCAGTTTTGACCGGAGCTGCCCTAGTTTCGAATGCTTCACCACCCTCTTCTACCTTGGGCTCAATTTTAATGTCACTCAAAATTTTTATCTTTTTCTCAGGACTACTGAACACTGGAGGCAGCTTGATGTCACTTATTATGTTAATTTTGGGCTTAGCCTCATTGCTTGTCTCACTCTTGGGGCTCACCAAATTCGTCAGAACTGGCTTCGCATCTTCTTTCTTTATCCACGAGTGATTCGCATTGGTACCAGTCAAGCCAGGATTGAACTGGTTGTTGACCGGGCCAAAGTATTCACTGTGTTCTTGATTATAAGTATTATTTTCTTGCTGCTGAGGCTGATTCCAATAGTTGTGCTGATAGTCTTGGTACTCGTTTTGATTGTAAGAGTTCTGATTGTACCCTGAATTGTTCTGAGAAGGTGTAGTGCCAATTTCCATCAGATCTTCTGAACCAGGATGCATGTTATTCAAAGAAGCAAGAGCGCTTGTAGTCGAAGATATCAAAGGAGTCAGAGATGTACTAGAGTTACTCAATGGAATCAGAGAAGTACTAACGTTGCCCAATGACGTCAAAGTACTATTGACATTGTTCAACGGTGTCAAAGTGGTACTGGTACTGCTCATACCGGTCAAGCTCTTACTAGTAGTTAGCGGTGTCAAACTGGTACTACTTAACGGAGTGAGTGATGTGCTAGCCGACAAGCCAGAACTGATGTTGGTCAAAGGAGTTAACGAAGTACTTGAGGTCAATGGCGTCAAAGAAGTATTATCGTTATTTAGTGAAGTCAAGGTAGTACTAGCATTGTTCAACTGAGTTAGGGTATGCCCACTGTTGAGCTGAGCCAAGTTGGTCTGACTATCTTTCCCTTTTGAGTTCAAAGGCGTCAGAGATATTTCCGAAGAGAGATTGGCAAAGCTATTCGAGTTTTGACTAGTGATCGGTACTGGAGTCAACGAATGCTGAGAATCGAGATTCAGGAAGGTGGTTCTAGAAGGGGTCTGGGGTCGGTTGTGTTCAGACAAATTGAAATTGGAATCACTGCCAGTGACGTTGTTATAGCCTGTACTCGAGTTAGGAGTGTTCGGATACGAATAATTGTTTGTGTTGGGAAAAGACGATGGAAACTGAGCATTCTGGTCGAACTCCTGATCGTAGTATGGCTGTGGAATTGTTTCAGAAAAACTAGTTGGCATATCCTGGAGGCTGTTGGTGGTGTTCAGATTCTGATTGAAATTTGAAGGACCCTTGTCTTTTCCCTGTTGGGAAATGGTGTTGCTAAACGAAGTAATAGGTGACGAGTTGGAAAAGTTAGAGCTGGGGACGGTACTTGAAGGTGGTGGAAGATTCGCCGCAGGAGGATCAGTGGAGCTGTTGTATGGCGTGACAGAAGCTGCAGGTTTGCCGTTCTTTCCTTTGGCTGGAGCTTTTCGTTTGGTATTAGCGCGGGCTGGAGACTTTTCCGGCTTTTCTGGCTTCTCAGGCGTCACTTTGGTCACTGGAGCTCCTCCCACTTCCTCCAGGTCTATATCCACTGCCTCTCCACCGGCACGTTTCTTCAAAAAGTTGTAGAGCACATCCGGGTGATTCCATATCTTACAGCAGACAGCGAAAGCTTTCAGAGGGTTTGGAACAGCCTGGATCCTGACCACCTCATTCATAAACGTTTCATAGAGAGTTCTCTGAAAAGGCGTCATCCTGACCAGAAGGACATACTCTTCCTTCTGAGGCAGGGCTGTTTGCAACACACGATGAGATCTTCTTTGCACAAACCCAAGCAGCAGCGAGTGCAAAACATGAGCTCTGTACCGCATAAGTTTGATATCAGCTTCAGTGGAGTCTATACATTGACCGTTCATTATGGGCCGCTCAAACATGTTACAGAATTCCGTCTTGGAACCAAGATAGTTGGGTCTTACAAAATCTACCATGCACCAGTATTCCATCAGGTTATTCTGGAGAGGATATCCAGTTAGAACAACTCTTCTTTTAGTCTCCATTTGTTTTAGAGCTTGAGAGATTGAAGCATGAGAGTTTTTAATTCTATGGCCTTCATCGCAGATTACTAGATCTGGGCCGGGTTTCACCAATGCAGTGTGAACCTCTGAAATGAAGAAAAAAAACTCATTCAACAAACGTTATTTTATGAAATGATACTTAATGTACTGAATCAGTTGTGAGGGCACCAAAATCTCTGGTGCAGAGACAAGATTTTTGGAATGGATGTGATTTGTGGGGAAAATGTAATAATCACATGAGATTAGTGTGAGACAGATACAATAGAAATGGACAATTCAAACAGCTCCCAAACAACAGAAACATACTGAGGTTGGTAGAAGGCAGATTATATTCTCACATAAACCTTAGAATTTTCATATGTTGTGAAAAAAATATAATTTGAATAAATTAACGGATGTAGCCGTTACTATTTGGTAGGAGATCATCATGAAAAATGAGAAATGAAACTTTCTAAGTTTTTATATCATTGCATACATTTGAAAATGTTCTTATAGGATGAAACTGCAGTAACGTTAGTTATAAATACAGGTGCTATAAAAACACAGAAAGTTTCATTTTTTATATACAGTGTGACCCATTTTTAATGGAAACACCCCCCTAAAATTTGAAGTTGTAAACTGATTTTAATAATTTTTTTTTGAAATGTCAAGTA